ATTACTGATATACAATATATTTACAACTAAGATGAATGATAAGAACTGCAGACACTCTTTGATGTATCCTTTACAGAAATATAACCTATTTCAGTGATTGCACTGTAATTAATAAGGTTACTTCATAGAATGATTCAAAAACGAAATGTTAATTAACGAAATAAATCGTTCAATAAATTGTATAAAGTTTCTAATATTTTTACATCTAAAGAACGAAACAAACACAAATTATATATCCTTTGCAGGGATATTTAAATTGTTGTTGCATGCCATGGTTTGAAAACAAAGTGTTAATTAAACAAATAAACATTTTTATAAATTGTATTAAATTTCTGATATTTTTACTATGTTTTACTATATTTAGCTATATTTTACTTAATTTATAAGTTTGCAGCGTGGTATAATTTGAAATTTAAGTGTAAATGAAACAAATAAACGTTTCAATAAATTGTTTAAAATTTCGAATTTATCTGCACCACAATAATCCTTCACGGGAACATAATCTATTAAAATGATTGCACTATAGTTCAAAAGATTGCTGCACAGTATGATTTAAAAACAAACGAAGTGTTAATTAAGCAAACAAACGTTCAGCCAAAACATTATTCTGTTTTAGTAATGAAACAGTGCTTAATCGTAGTTTAAGAGGAAAGTTGTTATTTAGTTTTTGAAAATAATAAATTAATCCAACAATGTAGATGCAGAGTATATAATCATAAAACATATATTTCTTGTGGTCGTAATCTCATAAGGAAATGGGATAATAGGAGATTCATCGTGCAAACAACAAAAGATAGAAGGGAGTATAACACGCGCTTCCGGTTCCGCGCGCGAAAATTAATAAACATCGCGCTTATTATACCTGCTCCAGATTGTATGAAAAATCACAAGCTTTGTTTCCTCATTCGCAAAATTTGATTAGAAGTAAACTATACAGACGCGTGTGTAAAACTGAAATTTATTTGAAAGTTTAGCTGGAAGATTGATAGAAGGCGTAGAAGAGAAAGAAAAATGTTCACATTGCTAAAGTTCAAATAAAACACCGTTTTTCATATACACATTTATATACAAGTTACTAAGAAAGGCACATAGTTTACGTCCCTATGTAAAGATACTCAAATACATCAGAGATTTTGAAAAACGCGGAATATTCGAATCATTTTGACTGGGTCGATTTAAATCGATCACTCTGTGTCACAGTAGTAGGTTCCCATTCAAAAAAAGGAAAAAACATATAACGACTAAAATTATATATTTAAGCCTTACTTTTCATTTTATATTACTAGTACATTTAATGGGGTTTTTGTTGGGATAGAATAATGAAAACAAAATGTAGTGTTTTAATTGTTTACAAACAAATTTTTTAAAAATATATATAATTTTCGTTTTCAATTCAATTCAATTAAATTGAAGATCCTCTTCATTTTCATGTAGCGAACATTGTTCCAATTAAAAATGACAATTCAACGTGTACATAATCAAAAATGACTTTTTTGTGTACATAATAACTATCCTATGTCTATGTTACAGTGAAACACCGAAATCTGGAGAATGTCGACTTTCACCGGTGAATGTCAACATTCACATAGTCGCTTGGTGTATGTCCAAAATATTTGCGAAATACCCTTATTTCTGACTTACACCGGTAAATGTTGACATTCACCTATCTGTGATTGTCGATACACACCGGAGAGGGTCCGAATGTACAACAACGTAGTGAAATATTCGATCTTTCTCCGACGTATTTGGTATCTGTTGACAATCACCGGTGAAAGTCGACATTCTCCAATTTCGGTCATTCACGGTAACATCAACATAACGATAAGTGATTATTTTATGTTTACATAATAAACTGTGACTATACTATGTGAATATAATAAAAATGACTATTCTACATGATTTTATAGGAAAACAATAAAGATACATTTGCTAGAATTTGTATTAATCTCTGTAATAATATACGCCCGAAGCAATAAAGTTATCAAGTTTTCCTACAAATGCATCTTTACGATTTCAATACATTTCAATGCATTTAATCGTCTGGGCAATCATTATAGTTGAACACCGTCTATGCCGGTATGAAATTTCAGTCTCTAAAAATGACCAGCAATTTTTCGTATTTTTAAGCCATTACAGTATAGTGCACTATTTTTATCCACCGACCGTATATTCGATCGAAGTTCAACGCAGCCAGCAATCACGGAGGAGTTTACGACACAAAACTTTGGTATTACGAATTATCTTAACAGGGACAATAGCTTGTGCAATTAATCATCGACTTCTCACTGCATGAAACAAAAAGGTGAGGCATTAAATAATAAATCTGAGATTTATGAGCAGTGACAGTAAAAATCAACAATTCTCATAGGATCATCTAATCACCAGAAGTATCTTAATACCCGGAAAATAATCGTTAAAAGTCCAAGTGACATA